CCTTGAAATTTTGGAGTTGTAGTTGCTGGGATTTATAGTTCACCTACAATCAAAGAGCATTCTGAACCCCACCAAACTTCCCACACACTTCCCATTTCCTCAACCATAACATTATTGTCATTACTACTTCAGAATGTCATTTTGCTACTGTTATGAAAACGTAATGTAAATATCGGATATGCAGGATGGATTTTCGTTCATTGGACCAAATTCGGCACAAATACTGGTGAGGTTTTGTCATTTGGGAGTTGTAGCTGCTGGGATTTATAGTTGAACAAAAGAAAATACTGATGGTCTTTGGTGACCCCTCTAGCACCACCCCCTCACGACCCCCCTAGGGGTTGCAACCCCCAGGTTGAGAAACACTGTTCTAAATCAAGCACGAGCAAACTTCGGACCTCCAGGTATCTTGTACCGGCTGTTAGGAATTGTGGGAGTTGGAGTCCAAAACACATGGAGGGCCCAAGTTTGCTCATGCCTGGTCTAAACCTTCTCGTGATGTGTAAAGAGGACCTCATGAGGAAGACTCAGAATAATACGGCCGTGTCCACCTTTCCTTGAAGTCCCTCCCTGTCCTCTTACCTGGCTCTCCTCTGCGTCCTCCACAACGTGTTCGACTTTGATTCTCTTCAGGGGCGGCTCTTCTTCCTCGAGTCCGTGATGGTTCTCGTCCGGTTCCACGATGACCATTTCCTCTGCCACCTGACCAGCAGGTAGAGTTAGAACTGGAAACAAAGGGCGGGAGGGAAGGAGAGAAAGTGGAGGCTTGAAAACACTTCCCTGGGCATGATACTGAATTAGAAAGATTTCGATATGCCCAAATTTGAATACTGGTGGGGTAGATGTTGGCCAGTTGGGAGTTGTAGTGGCTGGGATTTATAGTTTACCTACAATCAAGGAGCATTCTGAACTCCACCAAGGAACGAATTGAACCAAACTTGGCACGCAGACCTCCCATGACCAACAGAAAATACTGGAAGGGTTTGGTGGACATTGACCTTGAGTTTGGGAGTTGTAGTTCATCGACATCCAGAGAGCACTGTGGACTCAAACATTGACCAAACTTGGCACAAATATTCCATATACCCAAATATGAACACAGATGGAGTTTGGGGAAAATAGACCTTTCCCTCTGGGAGTTGTGGTTGCTGGGATGTATAGTTCACCTAGAGTCAAAAAGCATCCTGAACCCCACCAACAACAGAATTGGGCCAAGTTCCCACACAGAACCCACATGACCAACAGAAAATACTGTGTTTTCTGATGGTCTTTGGCGACCCCTCTGACACCCACTCACGACCCCCTCAGGGGTCCCGACCCCCAGGCTGAGAAACCCTGTAATAACATATTCTCTGCTTACCTTGCTGCCCATTCTGCATCGTCACGATGAAGGGCTGGCCAAGGCCCCGGCCGGGGAGCCCTGTCTGGAAGTGGCCCAGCGAGGCCCCGTCGGCCACAATGGTGATGACCCGCTGGGCCCCCCCGCCGGACCCGCGCTGGAGGGGCAGCTCCATGGCACTCGTCTCCACCACCTCTTCGGAGACAACTGCCAGAGTCAAAGATAAACCCTCAAGGACGGTAAACAAAAAAATAACTCAACACTTTGGCAACAATCAGAACAGACTCAGAAAGTAATATGTTCTGGGCGGAAAATAACCACACTTTCTGTGAAGAAAATATTAAAATATATTGTAGATTATATATTATATTATGTATATTATATTTTAAATGTTGTTGTTGTTTTTATTGTTGTATTTGGGCTCAGCCTCTTGTAAGCCGCACCGAGTCCTTCGGGAGATGGTAGCGGGGTATAAATAAAGATTTATAATAATAATTATTATTATTATTATTACTATTATTATTATTATTTGTGTGCAGAAAGTAGTGAAATCTTCTATGAAGGACTGTTCTCTTCTGTGCAGAACTTAGTAATACTTTCTGTGGCCAAAATAATTATTTTCCACACAGAGAGCAATATTATTCTCTGTGCAAAGAGCAATATTATTTTCTGTGCAAAGAGCAATATTATTGTCTGTGCAAAGAGTAATACCTCCGACCAAAATTGGTCGTCTACACGGACGTTGCCCGAATGTTTTGATGTTTGAACATCCTCATGGGAGGCTTCTCTCATGCCTCCGCATGAGGAGCTGGAGCTGTCAGAGGGAGCTCATCCATGCTCTTCCCAGATTCGAACCTCCGACCAGAATTGGTCGTCTACAAGGATGTTGCCCAGGGGACGTTGCCCGGATGTTGTGATGTTTGACCATCCTCGTGGGAGGCTTCTCTCATGTCTCCGCATGGGGAGCTGGAACTCACAAAGGGAGCTCATCCATGCTCTTCCCAGATTCGAACCTCCGACCAGAATTGGTCGTCTACAAGGACGTTGCTCAGGGGACGTTGCCCGGATGTTTTGATGTTTGACCATCCTCATGGGAGGCTTCTCTCATGTCTCCGCATGGGGAGCTGGAGCTGACAGAGGGAGCTCATCTATACTCTTCCCAGATTCGAACCGATTCGATCCGACCAGAATTGGTCGTCTACAATGACATTGCCCAGGGGACGTTGCCCGGATGTTTGGATGTTTGACCATTTTCGTGGGAGGCTTCTCTCATGTCTCCGCATGGGGAGCTGGACCAGACAGACGGAGCTCATCCGCACTCTCCCCGGATTCAAACTTCCAACCTGTTGGTCTTCAGTCCTGCCGGCACAAGGGTTTAACCCATTGAGCCACCGGGAGCTCTTGTTTTCTCCCACTGAGGTCTTCCCCCACTGAGGGCTTCTCCCACTGAGGCCTTCTCCCACTGAGGCCTTCTCCCACTGAGGCCTTCTCCCACTGAGGCCTTCTCCCACTGAGGCCTTCTCACACTGAGGCCTTCTCCCACTGAGGCCTTCTCCCTCACTGAGGCCTTCTCACACTGAGGCCTTCTCACACTGAGGCCTTCTCTCACTGAGGCCTTCTCACACTGAGGCCTTCTCACACTGAGGCCTTCTCCCACTGAGGCCTTCTCCCACTGAGGCCTTCTCACACTGAGGCCTTCTCTCACTGAGGCCTTCTCCCACTGAGGGCTGTCTCAGACTGAGGCCTTCTCCCACTGAGGCCTTCTCCCACTGAGGCCTTCTCCCACTGAGGCCTTCTCCCACTGAGGCTTTCTCCCACTGAGGCCTCCCATTGAGGCCTTCTCCCACTGAGGCCTTCTCCCACTAAGGCCTTCTCACACTGAGGCCTTCTCCCACTGAGGCCTTCTCCCACTGAGGCCTTCTCACACTGAGGCCTTCTCACATTGAGGCCTTCTCCCACGGAGGCCTTCTCACACTGAGGCCTCCCACGGAGGCCTTCTCCCACGGAGGCCTTCTCCCACGGAGGCCTTCTCCCACGGAGGCCTCCCATTGAGGCCTTCTCCCACTGAGGCCTTCTCCCACTAAGGCCTTCTCACACTGAGGCCTTCTCCCACTGAGGCCTTCTCCCACTGAGGCCTTCTCACACTGAGGCCTTCTCCCACTGAGGCCTTCTCCCACTGAGGCCTCCCACGGAGGCCTTCTCCCACTGAGGCCTTCTCCCACTGAGGCCTTCTCCCACTAAGGCCTTCTCCACTGAGGCCTTCTCCCACTGAGGCCTTCTCCCACTGAGGCCTTCTCACACTGAGGCCTTCTCCCACTGAGGCCTTCTCACACTGAGGCCTTCTCCCACTGAGGCCTTCTCACACTGAGGCCTTCTCCCACTGAGGCCTTCTCACACTGAGGCCTTCTCACACTGAGGCCTCCCACGGAGGCCTTCTCCCACTGAGGCCTTCTCCCACTGAGGGCTCTCTCACACTGAGGCAAACTAACACTGAGGCTTACTAACACACTGAGGCCCTTCTCCCACAGAGACCTCTCACAGACTGAGGACTACTAATCGCATCGCCCTATCAATTTCTGGCTACCAAGTTTTCTTTCTCCTTGCCTTGGGTTCTGTTGGAGCTGGAAAGGGGCCCGGAAGCTTCTGCGATGGCCGCCAAGGCAGCAAGGACCGAGGTGGTGGAGTTTGGGAGCGTCACGGTTGAAACAAAGGAATCTCCTGCCAGTCAAGAGAGAAGGGATTGCAATAGGGTGAAGGGAGATTTCCCGGAAGGAGAGGGGTGTCTTATGCTCTTGTGCCAGGTCTCTCCCAGCATCCTTTGAGGCCAAGGACATTGGATGGGGGGGGGGGCTGAGTTTGACGGGGTCCTACCTGAGGTCGTTTTGGCGTCTGCCGAGGAAACGAGTCCGGAGAGATTCAGCACCTCCCCTGAAGTCAGGAAGAACGGCTGGTTGATGGTCATGGAACCCGGGACCGGGTTGGCCCTCTCTGGGTTGGTGGCCACCTGGTTCTGCATTGCCTCCTACAAAAGAGAATGATTACTATTACTAGCTGTACCCGCCACACGTTGCTGTGGCAAACCTTCCTTCTCTCTTTCTCCTTTCTTTCTTTCACTCCTTCCCTCCCTCTTTCCTTCCTTCCCTCTTTTTCTTCCTTCTTCTTTCTTCCTTCTCTACCTGTTTCTTTTCTCGCTTCCTTTGTTCTTTGGTTCCATCCTTCCTTGTCTCTTTCCTTCCTTCCCTCCCTCTTTCTCCCTTTCGTTCCTTCTCTCCTTCCTTCCCTCTTTCACTTTTTTATTTCCTTCTACCTTTTTTCCTTCTCTCCTTCTTTCCCTCTTTCTCTCCCTCCATCTCCCCTTCCTTCTTTCTCTATCTTTCTTTCCTTCTTTCTCTCCTTCCCTCCTTCTTTCCCTCCCTCCTTCCTTCCTTCTCTTTCTTTCTCTACCTCCTTCTTTCCCTCTTTCTCTTCCTCCTTCTCTCCTTCCTTCTTTCTTTCTTTCTCTCCTTCCCTCCTCCTTCCCCTTCTTCTCTCCCTCCTTCTCTCCTTCCCTCCTTCCTTCTCTTCCTTTCTTTCTTTCCTTATCTCCTTCCCTCCTTTCCCTCTTTCTCTCCTTCCTTCCTTCTTTATCTTTCTTTCTTTCCCTCCTTCTCTCCCTCCTTCCTTCCTTCTCTACCTTTCTTTCTTCCCTTCCCTCCTTCTTTCCCTCTTACTCTCCATCCTTCTCTCCTTCCTTCTTTCTCTCCCTCCATCTCCCCTTCCTTCTTTCTCTATCTTTCTTTCCTTCTTTCTCTACCTCCTTCTTTCCCTCTTTCTCTTCCTCCTTCTCTCCTTCCTTCTCTTTCTTTCTTTCTCTCCTTCCCTCCTCCTTCCCCTTCTTCTCTCCCTCCTTCTCTCCTTCCTTCCTTCTCTTCCTTTCTTTCTTTCCTTATCTCCTTCCCTCCTTTCCCTCTTTCTCTCCTTCCTTCCTTCTTTATCTTTCTTTCTTTCCCTCCTTCTCTCCCTCCTTCCTTCCTTCTCTACCTTTCTTTCTTCCCTTCCCTCCTTCTTTCCCTCTTACTCTCCATCCTTCTCTCCTTCCTTCTCCCCTTCTGTCCTTCCTTCCTTCCTTTCCTTCCTTCTTCTCTCCCTCCCTCCCTTCCCTTCCTTTCTTCCCTTCCTTTCTTCTTTCTTCTCTTTCTTTCCTTCCTTCTCCTTCCCTCCTTTCTTCCCTCCCTCTTTCTCTCCTTTCCTTCTCTACCTCCTTTTTCCTTCCTTCTCTCTCTTCCTCCTTCTTTCCTTCTTTATCTTTCTTTCTTTCTTTCCCTCCTCCTCTTCTCCCTCCTCTCTCTCTCTCCTCTTTCCTTCCTCTCTCCTTTCTTTCTTTGTTCTTTCTTTCCCTCCTTCTTTGTCTCCTCCTTTCCCTCTTTCTCTCCCTCCTTCTCTCTCTCCTCCTCTCCTTCCTTCCTTCTCTACTCCTTTTCTTTCCTCCTCTCCTTCCTCTCCTTCCCCTCTACCTTTCTTTCTTCCCTTCCCTCCTTCTTTCCCTCTTACTCTCCATCCTTCTCTCCTTCCTTCTTTCTCTCCCTCCATCTCCCCTTCCTTCTTTCTCTATCTTTCTTTCCTTCTTTCTCTACCTCCTTCTTTCCCTCTTTCTCTTCCTCCTTCTCTCCTTCCTTCTCTTTCTTTCTTTCTCTCCTTCCCTCCTCCTTCCCCTTCTTCTCTCCCTCCTTCTCTCCTTCCCTCCTTCCTTCTCTTCCTTTCTTTCTTTCCTTATCTCCTTCCCTCCTTTCCCTCTTTCTCTCCTTCCTTCCTTCTTTATCTTTCTTTCTTTCCCTCCTTCTCTCCCTCCTTCCTTCCTTCTCTACCTTTCTTTCTTCCCTTCCCTCCTTCTTTCCCTCTTACTCTCCATCCTTCTCTCCTTCCTTCTTTCTCTCCCTCCATCTCCCCTTCCTTCTTTCTCTATCTTTCTTTCCTTCTTTCTCTACCTCCTTCTTTCCCTCTTACTCTCCCTCCTTCTCTCCTTCCTTCCCTCTCTTTCTTTCCTTCTTTCTCTTCTTCCCTCCTTCTTTTCTTCTCTCTCCCTCCTTCTCTCCTTTCTTCCTTATCTTTCTTTCTTTCTCTCTCCTTCCCTCCTTCTTCCCCTTCTTCTCTCCTTGTCTTGTGTCCAAATTTGGTGTCAATTCGTCCAGTGGGTTTTGAGTTTTGCTAATCCCACAAACGAACATTACATTATTATTTATATAGATTATTATTAGTATTATTATTATTAGAAACACAAGATGAGTTATTAATTATTATTAACAATAATTATTTATTAAATATTTAATTATTATTTATTATTATTAGAAACACAAGATGAGTTATTAATTATTATTATTTATTTATTTATTATTTAATTATTTATTATTATTATTATTATTATTATTATTATTATTATTATTATTTATCATCCACCTCTCCTAATGGCTCGAGCTGGGGTACAACCAACTCTGGGGCCAGAGTGAAGAAGGGGAGCCAGGAAGACAGTTCCACCACGTCAACCACGTTGCTGGGTAGAGTTGGGAACCCCTCTACCCAGCAACAATAGTAATATATAATATTAATATTATGCTACGCTAACACGCACATATAATATTGATCTTTATATTGTCCTACAATATAATACTAAAAATAATAATATATTATACGAATATTGTGCTATGCTATATACAATATATTATAATATTGATAATAATATTATAATGTAATATAATATAATACTAATAATAACCTATACCTAATTGTATACTATATATTGCATGTAATATTACCAATAATATTGTAGTATACTCGCATAGTACAATATAGTTATATATAATACTAATATTATGCTATGCTAACAATATAATATATTATATGTACATATAATATTGATCAAAATATTGTAATACAATAAAATATTAATAATAATACATTATAATAATTATATATTATATGTTATGTGTAATGTTACTAATAATACTGTAGTACAGCGGTATAGTACAATATAGTTATATATAATACTAATATTATGCTATGCTAATAATATAATATATTGTATGTACATATAATATTGATCATAATATTGTAATACAATAAAATACTAATAATATATAGCACTATTATTGTGCTATGCTATATATAATATAATATTAATAATAATATTATAATGTAATGTAATATAATACTAATAATAGTCTTTACCTTTACCTTTATCTAAATGTATATTATATATTACATGTAATATTACCAATAATATTGCAGTATACTGGTATAGTACAATATAGTTATATACAATACTAATATTATGCTATGCTAACAATATAATATAGTGTATGTTATGTAATATTGATCATAATATTGTCATACAATATAATACTAAAAATAATAATATATAGTACGAATATTGTGTTATGCTATATATAATATATTATAATATAATACAATATAATAAATAGCAGCGCTCCATGTAGTCATGCCGGCCACATGACCTTGAAGGTGTCTACGGACAATGCCGGCTCTTCAGCTTGGAAATGGAGATGACCACCAAACCCCAGAGTCGGACACGACCCCCAGTCGGACACAACCTGGCAGAATGGGTTGGACTGGATGGCCCCTGGGGTCCCTATGATGCTATGACACCTCACCTGCAGCATCAGCAAGGTTTCCGGGTTGTTCTTGTCCAAAGCGATGTCGAAGGCGGATTTGTCGAACTTGCTGAAAGCGTGGACGTCGGCCCCGTATTTGAGGAGCAGGGCGACAACATCCCGGTGGTTGTGCTCAGTGGCCCAGTGCAAAGCCGTCATCTTCAGCATGTCCTTGGCATTGACGTCGGCACCGTTCTGGAGAGAGGAAAAAATGTGTTTAGAAAGCCTAATGCCACTGCCAGAAGGGACAGAGAGTTTCCTCTACGCTGACGATCATGCCATCAACGCCCAAGCGGAGAGATCTGAAATGGTGGAACAAAAGCTCTCTGAAGCTTTGGGTGCTCTGACTGGCTATTACAGGGAAAACCAGCTGATTCCTAATCCATCTAAAGTCACTTCTGGTAAAAAAAATATCACCTCACCTGCTTCATAAGAAGTCTGCTACCAAACAGGAGCTTTTTTGTTGAGTTCCAGGGTCAAAGAAGCAGGTGACGAAAACAGAAACATGGCCTGCCTCAGGGGAGTGTGCTTGCTCCTTCCATGTTTAACATTGACCCAAATGACCAGCCACTGCCAGAAGGGACAGAGAGTTTCCTCTACGCTGATGATCATGCCATCAATGCCCAATCAGAGAGATTTGAAATGGTTGAACAGAAGCCCTCTGAAGCTTGAGGTGCTCTTACTTCCTATTACAGGGAAAACCAGCTGATTCCTAATCCATCTAAAGTCACTTCTGGTGAAAAATGTATAATATCACCAAGGATTACCACCTCACCCGCTTCATAAGAAGTCTGCTACCAAACAGGAGCTTTTTTGTTGAGTTACAGGGTCAAAGAAGCAGGTGACGAAAACAGAAACATGGCCGGCCTCAAGGGAGTGGTCTTGCTCCATCCATGTTTAACATTTACCCAAATGAACAGCCACTGCCAGAAGGGACAGAGTTTCCTCTACGCTGACGATCATGCCATCACCGCCCAAGCAGAGAGATCTGAAATGGTGGAACAGAAGCTCTCTGAAGCTTTAGGTGCTCTGACTGGCTATTACAGGGAAAACCCGCTGATACCTTATCCATCTAAAACACAGACATGTGCTTTTCAACTTAAGAATAAACAAGCGTCTAGAGCTCTGAGGATTACCTGGGAAGGAATCCCACTGGAGCATTGCAGCACACCCAAATACCTGAGAGTCACTCTGGACCGTGCTCTGACCTACAAGAAGCACTGCCTGAATATCAAGCAAAAAGTGGGTGCTAGAAATAATATCATACGAAAGCTGAGTGGCACAACCTGGGGATCACAACCAGACACAGTGATGGCATCTGCCTTTGCGCTTTGCTACTCTGCTGCGGAGTGGAATATATCTCACCACGTTAAAACAGTGGATGTGGCTCTTAGTGAGACATGCCACGTTATTCAAGGATGTCTATGCCCCCCAAAAGGAGTCTCGCTTACCCGAATCAGGAGTTCGACGATATGCGAATGTCCGTCGGCGGCGGCCATGTGTAGCGGCGTCCGGTCGACCTTGGTCCGCGCATCCCGGCTGACTCCAGCTCGGAGCAGGACCTCCGCTGTGGAGTAGTGGCCGTGCTGAGCGGCCAGGTGGAGGGGCGATGTGCCCAGCTGCCAAGAGCAGAAGCGGAAATATTACAGTCATCCCTCACGACTTCGTGGTTCGCTTTTTGCTGACTAGCTGTTTCGTGGTTTTTCATTTCTGAGGCCTATGGGCTTCAGGGCCTGGCTGATTCCTGCCTGTGGGAATCCTTTGTTGGAATAATAATAATTAAAAAACTTTATTTATACCCCGCTCCATCTCCCCCAAGCGGACTCAGTGCGGCTTACATGGGGCCAAGCCCATCAATGCAGTATATACATCAGAATACAAAAACACAACAATAACCAGAAAATAAAATACATAAAATCCAAAGAAATATAATAGACAACAACAGACATAGTTTCATCTATGCTGATGATCGTGCTATTACCGCTCAAGCAGGGAGCTTTGAGATGGTAGAACAGAAGTTTTCCGAAGCTCTAGGTGCTCTTACTGCCTATTTCAGGGAAAACCAGCTGATCCTTAATCCATCTCATAGACATGTGCCTTTCATCTCAAGAACAGAGAAGCATCCCGAGCTCTGAAGATCACCTGGGAAGGAAGGGATCCCACTGGAGCATTGCAGCGCACCCACATACCTGGGAGTCACCCTGGACCGTGCTCTGACCTACAAGAAGCACTGCCTGAACATCAAGCAAAAAGTGGGTGCTAGAAACAATATCATACGAAAGCTGACTGGCACAACCTGGGGATCACAACCAGATACAGTGAAGACATCTGCCCTTGCACTTTGCTACTCCGCTGCTGTGTAGAGGAGATTTCACCACGCTAAAACAGTGGATGTGGCTCTTAATGAGACATGCCGCATTATCACGGGGTGTCTGCCCCCTACACCACTGGAGAAATTACACTGCTTAGCCGGTATTGCACCACCTGACATCCGCTGGGAAGTAGCAGCCAATAGTGAAAGGACCAAGGCAGAGACATCTCCAGCTCATCCCGTTTGGGTATCAGCCAGCACGTCAACGACTTAAATCTAGAAATAGTTTTCTAAGATCTACAGAGACACTCGCTGGAACACCTCAGCAAGCGAGAGTCCAAAAGTGGCAGGCTCAAACCCAGAACCTCAACCAATGGCTGATACCAAATGAGAGCACACAGAAGACTGTGCGACTTGGAAGGTGCTGAACAGACTGCGCTCTGGCACCACAAGATGCAGAGCCAACCTTCAGAAATGGGGCTACAAAGTGGAGTCCTCGATATGCGAATGTGGAGAGGAGCAAACCACAGACAACTTTCCCTGCCTTGCTCGCTTTCCTTTCTTTTCGGCCTATTACCGGACCTACCCAATCGGTGGTGAAAGGCGCTCCGTTGGCCATCAGCGTCCGGACTTCGTCATCTTGGCCTTTGCGGGCCGCTTCCAGCAACCTCTTCCCCAGATCCACCAGTGACATCTCCATACATGGGAACGGCCGTTTGCACAAACCTAGAGCGGGGACACAAGGTTTCATATCATTGACGCTATGTAACAACGTCTGAAAAAAATAATAATAAAAACCTGTTCCTGGTTTGAAAGTGGAAATTAATAATAAATAATAATGATAATAATACTAATATAATATAACAATGGAAAAACAATAATATAAGAACAATATAATAATACTAAAATGCTAGAATAATAAAATATAATACTAACTATATAATACTAAAATAATATAGCAATGTACTAACAATAATTATAATATAATTATATAACAATAACTTTAATATTATATAAATATAATACTAAAATTATAATGATATATTATACTAATATTATATATATTATTAATATAATTATATATATAATTATATATAATTATATATATAAATGTAAAAATATTAATATAATATAATATATATAAAAATAATAATATATAATATAATACTAAAATAATAATATAGTAATATAATATATAATACAAATAATAATATAAATATAATATAATATATAAT